TTGAGTTGCAATGTTAAGTCATTTATTTGTGTTCTTTCTGATTTGTTAATGAAGGCACTTAGGGATATAAACTTCCCTCTCAAGACTGCTTTCAGCATGTCCCAGATGTTTTATTGTGTTGTACAGTCCTTTTCATTTAGTTCCAGGAATACTTTCTTTCTTTCTTAATTTCTCCTTTGACACATGTTGTTTAATCTCCATGTGTTCATGTAGTTACTAGAGTTTCTTCCTGTGTTGATTTTAAGCTTTCTTGCATTGTGGTCTGATAGAATGCATGATCTTAAATACCATCTATCATGTTAAAGTCATGTTTCACTCAGGGTCCTTAGTTACAAGGATGCTGTGGGAGCAAATCCAGATTACCCAGCGTATCACATGGCTTACCCCACCTGCCATCACTCTAGAGTGGAAAAGGAAGTTGGCCCAGGAAGCCATCCAGAGCCTCAGTGCCTCCAAGTTGGCCAAGAGCATTTGCAGCCAGTTCTGCACTTAGTCCAATAGTTCTCATGAGGCTTTTTCAGCCTCCTTGTGGAAGCTGGAAGCTGGACACTCTGTGTGCCTGGAGAAAACTGAAGAACTGTGGCTACAAGTTTGAAAAGAGCATACCCCCCACCTTACCAGCCTTTCTCTGGAGAGCCATTCTTTACAGGATATCCTGCTGCACTGTAAACCTAAATAAGGAGAAGAACTGGGCCAGGGCCAATATGATGTGGTGTACCTGTGTGACAACTGTGGGGGACACTTCCCTTGTGCCCTCAAGTCGGTTGTCCCTCCAGGTGAGAAACACTGGAATGATCTGGCCTTGGAGTTTCACTGCATGAGGTCTCTGCCAATGCATGAACGATTGGTCGGTCTTCCTGGATCAGTCATTGATTACAACTATGGTGGGGGCTCCAGCATCACTGTGCTACTCATTATTGAGCAGCCTCACCAGGAGCTCTACACTGGGCTGAAGGATGAACTAACCCTGGAGTCACGTTTTCAGATTGCTCTGAATGTAGCAGAGAGAATATGATTCCTGCACAGTCAGGGGCTTGTCCATCATGACATCAAACTGAAGAATGTGCTGCTGGACAAACAAAACCATGCCAAGCTCACTGACTTAGGATTCTGCCAACTAGAGGCTATGATGTCAGGCAGCATTGTGGGGACACCAGTCCATATGGCCCTTGAACTTTTCACAGGAAAGCATGATAATTCTGTGGACAGCTACACTTTGGGGATTCTTTTCTGGTATGTCTGCTCAGTTCTATCAAGCTCCCTGAGGCATTTGAGAGGTGTGCTAGCAAAGACCATCTCCAGGACAATGTGCACAGAGAGGCCCGTCCAGAACGTTTCTCTTACACTCTCTTTCTTTTCTTCCTTCTCAACTTTTGGCCATGGGGAGAATTTGATGTTTGTTCATAAAAGGAGCTCCCAAGGGAATTGGTGCTTGTTGGCAACTTGAGACCTTCCTGGGCAGAGGTCGCTCCCAGCAGTGAGGTATTGGATGACTGAGTATTCTGGGCAGTTCACTCATAATGCCTCA